CGGGAATCTCTGGGGAAACCCCGACACCACGCGGGAGGCACTGTCGGGGGCGTCAGGAGCGTCGGGAGTGTCGGGAGCTTCGGGAGCTTCAGAAATTCGGAGGGTTGGTGGCACCATGGTGCCCCATATATGAGATACGTCGTGGAAGAACTACTGATCTAGCCGTTGTAGATTGTGCGGATGTCTCAGAAAGGCTTGCTTGTTTGGGCCCCCAGACTCTTGTGCGACCAGGGTAGGCTGTGAGGATGTCTCGAGCGAGGCGCTGGCTTCAGCACCCCAGGGTGAGGGCGCCCCGGGTGGGAGCATCCCAGAACTCGAGCCCAAACTGCGGCGCTGTCTCCGGCGACCTTACTTGTTTTAGCCAGGGCTGGCATGGTGAGAATCCGATGGTCTTGCGCGCTCGTAGCCTGGGAAAGCTAAAATGGTGAGAATCCGATGGCCCTGCCACACACTCGTGACCTCAGAAATGTGACATGCTGAAAATCCGATGGCAATGCCACGCGTTCGCGACCTGGGGATGACCTGGGAAAGCTGAACGTTGAGAATCCAATGGCCCTGCAACACGTTCGTGACCTCGGAAAGCGGACTGGCTAGAGCAGCGCATGATTTCCAATGAATCGTGACCTGCGAGGGGGTGCGTTTCACGGACGCTTGCATTGGGAACTTCCCACGACACGTCGGAACCGAGGGGGATTCCCCCCAGATATTCCCCCCCCCTCTCCTCCCTGATTCAAGGTGGAGTGGTCCCCCCTTGATTCAGGGGGGAGGGGTCGAACGCGCCCCCTCACCCCTCACCCCCCTCCTGGCCCACAGCCCCGAGTTGCGGGCGCTCTCTGGGCGCTCTCGGGGCTTGACGCGTGAGGTTTTCCATCAGCGGAACCATGATCCATGCCGTTAAGCTCCAGTCACCATCAAACAATCGGACTCCAAGGGTGGTACCACGGTTGGGCCCTAGAGCCCTGTTGTGGCAAGATGGACCTCGAGAACGCTTGCAAAGGAGCTTCCACGATGGTCCGAGGGGGTCCCCAAGAAGCCCCAGGAGGCCCCCGGCATGCCAAAAAGAGGCCTCTACGAGGCCCACCGAGAGGCCGCAGGCAACCCAAAACTACCCTCGAGAGTCGAAGGGAAGCCCCTTCCCTTTGATCCCTTCCCCGCGGGGGGGTCCCGGGGGGGTCCTGGCTGGGGGGGTCCCGGGGGGGCCCTGGGGGAGTCGCCACCCAGATTCGTTTTCCTCCCGGGGGGTACCAAGGCCAAGAAAAGCCCCAAGACGGGCCAAGAGCGCCCCAAGACGTCCCCAAGACGGTACAAGAGCACCACGCATCGACGAACGACCGCCCCAAGACGTTCAAGACTGCTCGAAAATGGCCCAAGAGGCCCCCAAGAAGCTCCAGAGAGCGCCAAGAGCACTCCCAAGAAGGCCCCAGAAGCCAAAATCGTCCATTTCACCTTGGTTTGTGAATGATTTCAGCCTTCTCGCCTTTTCGGCTTTCCGACGGTCCAAGACGGCCCAAGAGGCGCCCAAGAGCGCCCCAAGACGGCCCAAGATGCCTCCAAGAGGGCTCCAAGACGGCCCAAGAGGGACGCAGAACGGCCCAAGAGGCGCCGAAGACGGCGCAGAAGGGCCCCAAGACGGGCCCAAGAGAGTGCCCAGAAGGGGACGAGGAACCGAGAATTCTAGACGTCCGCCCCATGAGGCCCCCAGGAAGCCCCAAGAGGCCTCCAAGAGGCTCCAAGAGCGCTCAAGCAGCCCCGAGAGGCCCCAAGAAGCTTCGAGAAGCCCCCAGGAAGCCCCAAGAGGCCCCCAAACTGCTTCCCAGAGGTTCCCGAGAGCGCTCCGAAGAGACCTACGTCAGCGTCGTCGCCCTCGCCGCATCCTCCCCCGCCTCCTCCCACTCCTCCTGCCCCTCCTCCGGGGCCTCCTCCAACTGCTCATTCCTCCTCCTGCTCGTCCCCCGCGTCCTCCTGCTGCTGCCCCACCTCGCCCACCGCCTCCTCTTCCTCCTTCGGTTCATCTTTCTGCTCATCCTGCTTGTCCTCCTGCTCCTCCTCCTCCTCCTCCTCCTCCTCCTCCTCCTCCTCCCTCGTCTTCGTCGTCGTCGTCGATCAGGGTCGGCGGCACCGGCCGTCAGGCCTCTCCAATATCTCTGACCATCCCAGGCAGGCTGCGGCCGACACCGCTGGCCATCCACCCCCAGTTTGCCCGGATGGTTGCCTTGCTCGCTCCTGCATGGCCTCACTTGAGGATGTCTCACGCGAAAGCCATCCGGCGCGAGAGCTAGGCAGGGTTGCCCGGAAGGGCTCGCGAAGGGGGCGGTCCTTTTCCCGCTCGGGGCGGCTCAAGGGCCCTAAACGGCAGCGGTCAGCAGCAGTGCAACAGCAGGAGGAGGAAGGAGGAGAGAAGACACGAAAGGATTGTCAAAAATGAACAAGGAGAGGAATGAAGTCGCTTAACATCACGTGGGCCCCAAGATGCCTCCAAGAAGGCCCAAGAAGCCGCCAAGACGGCCTAAGATGTGCCCGAGATGGCACAAGACGGCCCAAGAGGCCCCCTAAGTGGCCTCAAAGATGGTCCAAGAGGCCCTCAAGCTGGCCTCCTGGAAAGCCTGACGAGGCCAAATCATTGGTTTCCCCAAGGTTCTCCAAGATTTTTGGAATTTGTTTCTTTTCGGCCTTCCGACGGCCCGAGACGGCCAGAGAGCCCCCCAAGATCGCCCAAGGCGCCCACAAGACGGCCCCAAGAGGGCTCAAGAGGCCTCCAAGGTGACCAAGATCGCCTCCCAGACGGCCCTGGAGCACCCCAAAAGGGCCCCAAGATTGTTCTGAGAGGCCCCCAAGACAGCTTCCGACGGCGTCAGACGGGCCAGGAACGCCCTGAGACGGGCCAAGGGGCCCCCAAGAAGCCCCCAAAGGCCTCCACCTGGCCACAACGTTCGGCCACTTGAGCGATTCCAGAAGGCAAGGGGCGGCGGTGATTCGCCGTAAGCGTCTTCGATGCAGATGGTCACACGCACAGATGGGAACCACGACGTGAACATATGAGATAACCAATGTGTAGTTCAAGCAGTGGTTCAGGCGGCTATTGGTGTGAATTCTCAGGCGTTCTGTTTCAACCGCACCAATGCCATGACGTGTATGCCAGAGGCGTGGCGAAGGAATGTGCCGCTCGTGCTTTTGCTAGCATTCGCGCGCGCAGTTGCAATTGTGCATCAAACGCAAAAGTGCAAGTGGCCAGGAGCGCCAACGGTCAAGAACCGGGAGCAACGACGCAGTAGTCCGTGCACCTGTTCCAGAAATGGTGCGGGCAATTGTTGACGCAAATTCCAAGGCGTGCGCCTGCAACGTCACAGGCAAAGTGATGTATGTTGCAGTCGTTGCTTGACGGGGTGGATGCGCCAACGATGCCGGCGTAATGCTGCGGTGTGTCGCGGTTGCGGTTGCAGGGATGCAGACGTAACGATGTAGGTTTTCAGGCTATGGAAGCGTTGGACCAAGTGCCATGGTGCATTGCCTGCGCTGGACGGATGAAACGACTTGGGATGAAGACGGAAGTATGTTGCTGCAACGGCTTCGGTGGCCGTTGACGATGGGACGGCTCAGGCAGCGTGTGACTCAAGGCTGTAGACTGTTGGGGGTTCAACTACGCATTCAAGCCCGAAGGGAATCGAAGGGGTCGATCAAAATGCTTTTTAGGGCCTCTCGATTCTTTCGAGCCCCTGGACCTCGACGAAACAACGACGCAGGCATATATGGTCGAGGGTTTGGGCCCCCCCCCAATGCTAATGCCATCGGGCCCCCCCCCCGCCCCGCGCGATGGTCCCCCCCCCTGTGGGCGTGGACGTGGCGTGGTGCCCCCCCCTGTGGGAGTGGTGTGGGGTCCCCCCTGTGGGAGTGCTCTGGGGGTGCTTCAGGGAGCCGGAGCGAACGGTGTCTTCGTCGTCGTCGTCGTCGTCATCGCCGTCGTCGTCCTCCTCCTCCTCCTCCTCCTCCTCCTCCTCCTCCTTTTCCTCCCCCCCCATCCCATCTGGGGGGGCGGGGGGCCCGAGGACCCTGGGACCCATTCCATCTGGGGGGGGGCCCGTGGGCCCAGAGCCCGCGATCATATATTGTTTGAACGGTCCATGCACTCGGCTGCAAACACGCAATCGGTGTGATACACGTGACGAAAGGGCACCTCAGAACAGGACTCCCCAGACGCTCCCACCCTGACCGCGTCCCGCAGCCGCGGGAGCGTCCAGGAAACCACGGCTTCAACCTTCCCCCGGGCATCCCCCCCTTACCGCGTCTCGCGGCCGCTGGGGCGCCTCGGGACACCACCGCTTCAACCTTGGACGCCCCTCGGGCACCCCCTTCTTGACCGCGTCTCATAACAGTGGGAGCGCCTTGGGACGTCCTGGGGCGAGGCGAGGTTTCGCGGGCGACGGGATGGGCCACGAATGGACCGCCCCTATCGCCAGGCGACGGACCACGCAAATGGCCCGCCGCCCAACACCACGCTCCTCGTTCCTCGCCCTTCCGGGCTAGCGCGACGCTGAGCGCATGCCAGCGCGCAGCATACACACCAGAGCACTCGCGGCAAAGACTTGACGCGCAAGTCCCGAGTCAAGAGGGCAACGAACGAACGACAGAGACGCGGCGACCAGGAGCGGCGGCACTATCCGGCGAGAGCCCATGGCGGGAAAGGCGTGCCCAGCCGAGGCGCCGTTGAAGGGACAGCCAAAGACCCCCCCCCGCCCCCCTTCGGGAGCGGCAAAGAGGGGGGCGTCAAAGAGGGGGGGGTGCAAATCATGACCGGCGGCATGTGCGCGGCCCAGCGGGGGGGCCAGGGACGTAATGAAATAAGAAGAGGCGCCATGAAATCTGGGGAAATATCATGGCCCCCGCCATGATATCCACCCCCCCCTAGTCATCACCCCCCTCTTTGCCGCCCCCGACCCCTATCCCCCCCCCGCGGCCTGAGTGCACCACCCGGGCCTGCGGAGGGCGTCATGGGGACACGGGCCTTACAGCACGGCCCAACCAGGCACGGACTCCTCTCTGCAGCACAGCGCCTGTGCACAGCCACGCGCGCAGGACCAGCGCGTCACTCCCATGCGACGTCGCCGCGCGGAGCCGACCCAGCGCACGCGGCGACCAATCGACCAACCATCCGACGGAGACCAACATTGGCAGCGGAGCCCTCCAGCGCGCTCCCGCACGCCACCAGTCGAGCAACCAGCCACCCCGACAGAAGGAAAGGAGACCACATGCTGCATTCGCAGCGCACGGCCGTGAGAACCACCTGCTGCCCTGCAGCACACGGCCGTGAGAACCCGCCTGCCGCACCGCAGCGCGCGGCCGTGGTTGAATTGGTCTTTCTGGAGCGTTGGCCAGCTTGAATTGGTCTCGGCCGTCTTGACTTTCTCTCGGGGCCCTCGTGTGGGTGGCTCGATTGGGGATGGCCTGGGGCCAAAGGAAAAGGACCGGAACGGGTGAAGTCGCCGCCGTGCCTGGGTTGTGGGTCAGAAGCATATTGGATGCTTGTTAGGGGTCTCGTGAAAACTTGCAGAGAGCCTATTGGAGGCAATTGTGATGCCTCGTAGGCCTTGTCAAGGGCTGTTTGCGGCCTCTTGGGGCTTCTTTTGGGCCTCTGGGGGGCTTCTTGGGCGTCTCGAGGGCTTCTTGGGATCCTTCTGGCGGTTCCGCGGGCCTCCTGGGGGTCCTGCTTGGGCTCTGTTGGGGTCTGGCAGCTTTCTGGGGAAACTCTGGGGGCCTCCTGGGTACCTCTGGGGAGCATCTTGGGCCGTCCTAAAAGCCGTCTCGGGAGCCTTTTGGGCCGTCTTGGGCCCGCGTTGGGACTCTCGTGGGGCGATCCTGGAGCAATCTTCAGGCTTGAAAGCCCCATCAGAAACGAACAAAACGAGGAAGCGACAACCATTAGAAAGCACTCTGCCTCTACGATGTGGGGCCCTCGGGGGCGTCCTGGCAAGCCTCGGGGGGCCACAGGGTAACTGTGTTGGGATCTACGCGGGACAATCGAGGAGCCTCCGCGGCGCTCTGGAAGCCTCCTGGCGCAGCCCGGGGGCCTCGTGGGAGGAGCGAGCCGCCCCCTGCAGAATTCGGGGAGTCTCTATTAGGCGCCGACGTGGCCCCCGCAAGGCCCCCCAAAGAGCTCCAGGGGACGCCCGGGGGCAAAGCGGGCTACCCGGCGGGGGGGGAGTACGGGAGGATGTGCCCCAGGAGCGCGTTCCTTTACTTTCGGCGATGATGGGCATCATGGGGGGGGGGGGGGTGCCGGGGGGGGTATAGTGTAACGCCTCCCCCCCGCCGTGTGCCCGATGCGCACGGCGGCAGTGCCTGGAGCGCACTGGGGAGGAGGGGCGTTACGTTATAGTGGGGGGGGAGGGGGGGGAGGCTGCTATAATGCCCATTATGCACCAAGCAAGAAAGAAACACGCTCCAGGTATATGATAGAGATGTCACCTTGACCAGCGTGGCCACAGGAGAGACACGTCTAAGGTGGTACCACTCTTGTCCACGACGCAGGCGCGGTGGCGGGATGGGCCGAAGGCCACTGGACGGCACCGTACCTTTCGCAGTCGAAACGACGAGTTCAAGCGCAGCCTGGCGGTTGAAAGCGTGTGGCATGTTCTTTAAGTGTTGAATAATGCCGCCATGACTGGTCGGTCCAGCGATGCCGCGGGAGAGGCGCGTCTAAGAAGGTATCTCCATCAGCTGGACCGAACATGCCAATTCAAATATCAAATTCAATCCCCGACTGTGGTTGATCAAGCTCAGCACGAGCAGGACCCCACTGCGGGCGACGGCCAGGCCTACAAAGAGGACAAGAAACAGCGCAGCGCGCTTTGGGCTTGCAACAAGGAGCATCAGCAAGGGATGGCATGCCGAGCTTCACAAAACTCAGAATCATCAGAGCTGCCCTCTGGTGCGAGGGGGGGTGAATACAGATCTACCACCTCCAGAACCGATGTCCCAAGACCCCACCAACCAAGAGACAGTGTTGTCAGGGCCCCCTGGGCCCCGAATATATCCACCGCTCAATTTCCCCCCCCATGAGCGCTAGCTGGTAGTGCGCGCAAATCTAGCACATTCTGGGCTGTGATGATCGGGGAGACGTAAGACTCGGGTTCTGACGGGGCCATCATGAAAATGACGAGACCCGGTCTGAAATTTGACGCGAGCTCCTGCTGTAGACATCCCACGAAAACTGCACCGTCAAAAACCAGGGCGGGCTCGTCAACAAGTGCAGGCGGACCCGAGTTCTGGCGTACGTTCTCGAATCTTACGTTTCCCGGAGAGGGGAATACTGCTGGGGGGAGCCCCCACGTAAATCGCCTCGGGTATCTTCTGACCCAGGTCAATCAAGACCCGGGTCAGTCGGGCCTTGCAAGATCCTGCAAGATCCTGCACCCAAACCCGGGTCAATGCGAAGGATCCGCAAGATCCTGCAGGATCCTGCACCCAAACCCGGGTCGATGCGACCCTAGCCCTGCAGGATAATGCAATATCGGGCGCTGTGGCTGACCCCCGTTTGCATTGACCCCCGTCTCGAGGCTAGATCGCCACGGCAAGCCGGCGAACCGGTGGCACCGAGCAGAGGGGGAAGCCACGCTCAAGTTCAAACACGAGCAAGTGCAGAGAGAGAGAGAGAGAAGAGAGAGAGAGAGAGAGAAAAAAAAAAGAGAGAGAGGGAGGGAGAGAGAGAGAGAGAGAGAGAGACACGAGGGAGAGACAGGGAGAGAGAGAGAGAGAGAGAGAAACAGGGAGGAGGGGAAGGGGAGGGAGGGAGAGGGAGGGTGGCGTCACAGACGACGAAGGGAGAGGGGAAGAGAAGGCAATCGAGTGAGGGCCAAGCCCTGACGGCGGCGACGCGCAGGGCGCGCACCTGGAACACTCCACGCAGAGCGGCCCAGAAGGCATTCAGCGCTCCTGGGACATCGACTGCCCAGGCATAGGCATGTACAAATTCCACCCTCGGACGAACTGGGCGGTGCGAGTCCACTCTTTGGATCTCTCCGCCCTCTTCGGCGACTCCGAAGGGTGTGGTTTGCAACGTGTGTGGCTTGCAACCGGCACCGTGGGGGGCGGGCGAGGACCTCGACAGAGCTCTCCGCCGCGCCCCGAGAAGGCTAGACGAAGACAGTGTCGTGACCCCAGGCCCCAACGGTGCCAAACCCAAACCGCACCCCAGCGTAACCAGACCCTTTGTCGTCTTAGGTCGGGCGTGTCCTCCTACAGGCAGATTTTGGACGAACAACTGAAAATACAGGCAAACATATTCAAAACATATGCAAAATGACGGTAAAAAAACGTCCCCACGCTATTTTCTATTTTTCACTACTTTTGAATACTCTGGGTTTCTTAATGAGCGTGGAAGGGTCCCCCCCCCGACGGGGATCAACCTCGCCTCGTCGTCGCGCTGCGACACGAGCGCCTTCGGCGCGCGGTGGCTGCCCGCGACGGGGGCCGATGTGGGGCTGTCGGCGGGGGTGACACCACACGCTTATTAAGAAACTCGGAGCATTCCCCCTGTAGGGTTAGGGAGGGCCTATCCTCCTACAGGGGGAGGTTGGACGTGTTTTTTTTGTGGGGGGGGGGAACATACACACACACACAAACACAAACACACACACAAACAAAGAAAAATAACACTACCCCCAAAATTGACAAAACATGTGGAAAATCGTCCCCATACGATTCTTCAACTATGTTTGAAGATTCCCTCCTTAGAAGGACGCGCCCGACTCCTCCTGTAGAGGGACAGGCCCGACGTTCTTACGGCCGCCGGCCTCTGCCGGCACCTGTGCCGCTGTCCGGGGACCCCTGCCAAGTTGCCAGCGAAGGGCGGCAGATCACCGAGCCGAGCGCGGAGCGAGAGCGCGCGCACATGCACACCCAACAACGGCGGGGGGCGGGCGCAGGCTTCCTGGCGCTCGAAGCGCGTGCCACGCGGACGACGAGGAAGCAGGAGTGAGAACAGGCGGAGGAGGAGGAGGAGGAGGAGGAGGAGGAGGAGGAGGAGGAGGAGGAGGAGGAGGAGGAGGAGGAGAGGAGGAGGAGGAGGAGGAAGGGAGGAGGAGGAGGAGGAGGAGGGGGAGGAGGAGGAGGAGGAGGAGAGGAGGGAGGAGGGAGGAGGAGAGGAGGAGGAGGAGGAGGAGAGGAGGAGGAGGAGGGAGGAGGAGGAGGAGGAGGAGGAGGGGGAGGAGGATGAGGAGGAACGAGGAACGAGCTAAAGAGGCAGCGTCTGCTCACAGACACAGCTCTACCCCAGAAGGAGGAAAAGCCCAGTCAGTAACCCCCAACCAGGGTTACGCCAGACTTTGGGTGCTTGCCCCCCAGCAAGCGGCAAAGGGCCCTCCGCCTGCTGGGGGCCAAGTCTTGGGGGTCAGGGCAGGGGGGCCCAAACGCCATCCTACACTGACGGACCCGTAGGCCCCGCACCGCCGACGCCAGACGACCGTACCCGTGGCGGTAACGTCGTGCCCACCAGGCGCGGTGACCCTCGGAGGCTCAGCCTCGCCCTCGCGGGCAGGCACAGGCCCAACCCCAGACGACCCCGCAGGGCCCAGGCCAAGCGAGGCCCCGTCCACTGACAGCCCCGCAGCCCCCCCGCCAGACGCCCCAGCCCCAGACAACCCAGCACCCGCAGACCCCACAGACGCCCCCAACAGGCGGTTGACGGCGGCGGCCTCGAGGACTTTGGCCTGGAGCGCGTGGATGGCCGTCGGGCGGCACCAACGGTCGGTGCCCCCTGCCAACTGGCGGCGAGCCTCGGGAGTGCGGGCCGGTCTCCTGCACTGCCGACAGAACAGACGACCCCCGACCTCCACTAGGCCGTGCTCATGGAGGAGCAAGCTTATTTTTGATTATGCGGGCTTCGCCCTCTGCACGCCAGCCGCAAGCTCCGCGGCTTCGGCCCAGAGCTCTAGCTTGCTGGGCCGCCCAGCCCAAGCACTTGGCGTACTGGGCGTCCGCGGGGAGACTCTCTTTGTAGAATCTCGCGTGCACCTCGGGGACCTCGATGGACAAGGCCCCCCAGCTTGTCGCACCGATCCGCCCACATATTACCCAGGGGCCAAAGGTAGGGAGGGGGCGGAAGGCCCTCAGGGGCCGGGAGGAGAACCCCTCCTCCATCATGTGGGCAGGGGCCCAGGCGAACTGCGGAGGCTCACGCTGCCGCCTCACTAACTGCCTCCACACGCCTGGGTCGGGGGCGCTGGCACAAGTGACCTTTCCGACCTCCCCGTCGCGCAAGAGCCCCGCTTCCTGAACAAAACCGAGCAGGTCGCTGACCAACAGCCAGACAGAGGGCATATGCTGCAACACCCTCAGTCCCGCCAGCCTTTCGGCCCGTCCAAATGTCTGCTGTGCTCCTGCGAGCCCGCCACGCACCGCGCGCACGGGGACTCCGTTGGCTCTCAGCATGGCCACTGACCAGCCGCACCGACGCAGCTCTGGGACATCGCTGCGATATCCAGAGCCGTTGGTAATCAAAACGTCGCTCCAGGATTCTTTGGGCGAGCCCCAGTCACCAGAGCAAAAAAAGCAGAAGGGGTCGCTCGGCGGCTGCGGCGCCTCAACGTTGGGCCACCGCGGGATTCCGATCGAGATGGCAAACGAGTCAAGATCCTGCGGCCCCTCTCCAATCGGCCCCTGCTCGGGCATGACGTCACGGGCAGCCGCCAACTTCGGGTCGAGGCCACAGTCCTCGTTCTCCTCAAGCAGGCGCTGCGTCAGCGCAGGACATTCGATGAAAGCATGGCCTCGACCCTTTCCAGCAGCACGCGCCAAGCACGCTCCATCGCACCCAGGCCGATCTCCTGCTGCCAGATGAGGCTCGACCGTCGCCGCGAAGATCGGGTCGTAGTACGGCTTCTTCTGGATGGCCAGGTAGAGCGCGATGCTGCCTCCTCGGCCCTTGGCACCTGCAAGCCGCGCGGCCTCGGTGCGCATCGCAGCCAGCTCGGAAGGGGCCACTCCACTCACAGCAGCGCCGTGGGCCGCAGCTGACAGGAGCCCTGTCTGCCACAGGCGCGACACCTTAGCACCTGCAGCCCGCTTCAGCTTCATTGCCCGTCGCATGCGTGGCCGCAGCTTCCTGGGCCTGTTCCTGGCGACCTTCCTCCGCGCCTTGGACCCATTGAGGTCGTGGCCGAGGCTGCGCATGCACTGACGGGCTCCGATCTTGACCCGCTTGGCGAAGGGCTGGACGGTCACCCTCCCTTGCCTCGCCGACGCCACGTTGCCAGACTTGAGCACCTGTAGCGCCAGCCCCACGTCCTCGACGTCGTGCTTATAGCCCTTGACGGCCTCCCGAAGCACGCGCGCTCCTTACAGGTCGCCGACCCATTGCACGGAGGGTCCTCGGAATGACGTCGCACTTGGCCAACCGTTGGAGTGCCCCGGCCGACGGCACTACCAGCACCGCCATCGAGTGGGAGCAGCCAGCGAGAATGCCCCGGTGCGCCACGCAGCCCTTCGAGACCGAGCCGAAAGCCTGCAGGCGCCTCGGCAAGTGGTGGTACCTGAGGATCGCCCGCATGAGGCGCAGCGGGTAGCTCATGTGCTCGGCCTCGCGCAGCACCTGCTTCGCTATGAGGCTGTCGAACGCTTCCAGGCATCCAGGAGCACCGCGACGCTGTGGCCTCCGTTGAGGGTCGCAACCTCCGCTGCGAGGTTGCGGTGAAAGGCCGCCGCCGACGACGTCCTGCCAGCTCCGCCTGTGCTCCAGAGGTAAGGCACGTCTGCCTTAGCTAACCAAGCCCTCGAAATCGTCGATCTCGCCTTGGCCCATAGCCGCAGAAAGGATTTGACGAGGGCAATCAGCCTGCACCCCGTCGCTCTCATTGTGCAGCCGAACTAGCACCGTGCATAGCCTGGTCGTCGGCCACTCACCGAGACTTTCACACCGACTGAAGAGCGCGGACAGCACGCGCGAGCCGATGTCACTGAGCTGCCACAGGGCCCTCGGGGCAATGCCTGTCTGGCCGGCGGCAGTCCCGCTCCTTGAAGCTGATCGCGGCCTTGCGGAGGTGCTCCACCCCCATCCTCGGCAGCTCGTCCCAGTTGGCAAGGTCGGGCGGCCTCGCCCAGGGTGGCTCCTCGTGGCAGGTCCAGACGTCCGTCCACTCCTGGAGCTCGCGGCCCACCATCTGGCGCGGGCTGCCGCGAGAAGTGGCCCTCCGCACCTCAGCTGCCGCTGGCAGCCTGGTGAACCCATGCGCCGCCTTGGCGCCTCCGTCTAGGCTCTTGTCGGCCCAGCTGCGCCACTCCTTCTCGCGCTCCTTGTAGTAACCCCTGGCGAGCCGCTGGGCGTCGTCAACGATCCTCTTGACCCGCCCGCCCCACTGGGCCTGGCCCATCTGCGCGAGGCCTCCGTCGAACCACTGCGCCATGTCAGCGGGGAGCTGGCTCTTGACTCGGCCCGACTTCGCCACGTTGCCGTAGTTGCGGTGGGTCTCCAGGAGCAGCTCGACGACCTTCTCGATGTTGCCCCTTCCGCGCAGGCCCGGCTCCGAAACGTGGGCGCTGTGATGGCAGTCTCCCCCTCGACTAACCACTGCGCCACGCTCGCCCCCTCCCCTGGCAAGCCGAGCTCCACCGCCACTTCCCACAGCACGTAGGTCACGAACTTCTGCTGCAGGACCTTCATGGCACGGCTCCGAGACGTGGGCGCTGCGATGGCAATCCCCATCGCGACCGCCGACTACGCCGCCTTCGCCACCTCCCCCGTCAAGGCCAGCACCGCCGCCCCGCCCCTCTGGGTCGTGCACGTCCACTGCAGGCCCTTCAGCGCGCAGCCTGTCGCCAGGCTCGACCGCCTGCGCGGCAGGAGGCCTCTTGCCACAGATGTGCCTGCGCCTTCCTCCCACGACTTGAACCTCGGGCAGCTGGCCGTTGAGCTCCTGTTCGCCAGTCCACCACGCGGAGCGGTCGCGTGGCTGTGCCTTCCTTGGGGGGGAGGGGGGGTATTAGGGTGCTCGGCGCGAGCTGCCCCCCCCCCCCCCCCCCTCCGGCCGAAGCGGCGCCCCTCGTGGCCGTCCGACCCCGCCCGCGCGCCTCACGCCAGCGGCAGCGCCAGCAGAAGCCCCCTGACGAGGGCTCGCGGCGCCCGCGGCGCTCAGCGGGTCCACGGGCATCGCGACGGCCACATCGCCCACAACCTCACGAGGCACTCGGCCTGCCGCAGCACGCCCTGGCCCACGCGGCGACGTCGAACCTGGTAGCCTCGATGGCGCGCCGGGACT